TTGCACTTGAACGTCTCTTTTGCAGTCAAAGAAAATTGTGTTTGTTGATAGAAACATTCAGAGATGTGTCCTGCATTCACACATAACACCCCGGTCATGTTTTTCTTTTATCTTCTCCCTTTTATTGAATTGTTTTCTGATTGGCTGCTGTAAACTCAAACTCCGTCCTTCCCCTGATTGGCTGGGAGCCCAGTGGGCAGGTGATGAGTGTTAATAAATACAGCGTGCAGTCAGAAGAGCGTGCATTCATACGCAAGCTTCTACTATCAACACTTCTCAGTTCTGTCAGCGCATGTGAAAGTGTTTACCGACACGCATTGGCTGCAGCAGAAAAGTGGAAGGAATTTTTAGCTTTTGCAAGAGAAAAGAGAAAAACATTGTCATGTCTTTGGAGACAAAGGAAAAGGCTGAAGTGCGTCTGGTGTTTCTAGGAGCAGGGGGAGTGGGGAAGACAGCCCTCATCCAGCGGTTCCTCAAAGACACCTTTGAGCCGAAGCACCGGCGCACAGTGGAGGAGCTCCACAGGAAGGAGTACGAAATGGGAGGAATTAAGGTCACCATCAGCATTATGGACACCAGTGGGAGCTACTCCTTCCCTGCCATGCGCAAACTCTCCATCCAGAACAGCGATGCCTTTGCTCTGGTTTACGCTGTGGACGATCCAGACTCCCTTGAGGCGATCAAGAGACTGCGAGAGGAGATCCTGGAAGTCAAGGAGAGCAAGCACACACCAATTGTGGTGATCGGCAACAAGATAGACCGACTCAAAGAGCGTAGGGTGTCCAGCGAGGACGTACTGTCCACGGTGGAAGTGGACTGGAACCACATCTTCCTGGAGTCCTCGGCCAAGGACAACGTCAACGTGATGGAGGCCTTCATGGAGCTGCTGCAGCGGGCCAACCTGCCCACGCAGCTGAGTCCGGTGCTGTGCAAGAGACGGCTGACGTTCCCCAAAGAAATAAGCAAGCGTGCCCCCATGAACAAAACCAACAGCTGCCTCCTTTCGTAGAGACGGACGGAGGCAGAGAAAACTGTGCAAACGAGACCAGAGGATTGTCGCGGATGACAGAAAAACAAACCAAGAGACAATGTTTGACACGATAATCAAATGTTCCCTTCTGCTCACAGCTCCAATATACTCCTCCTAAAACAAACATGGACAGATGAAAACAAAGATTAACATGTTGTTGAACTTGACTGCACCCACCGCGAATGCCAGAACATTTAACATTAAAAAAAGAAAAGAAAAAAAATATTCTGAATGTGTTGTGTTCAGTTTGTACTCGAAATTATTGATGTTTCAGCTTGTAACTGATCATCTGCAGGGGAAAACAATCTGTATCTGTTGATGAGTCAAAAGCAATAGTGTTTTTCATCTCTAAATGTGTTTTTTTTTTTTTTGTCTTTTCTGTGCAGCTGATGTCAACATATGAAGAAAATATACTGTGCACTTTATATTTTTAATTAGTGTTGGTAATACTGGTTTACTGAACCTTTTTGTTTGCAAATGCAAACAGAGATTAAAATATGAACTAAAATGAAATGCATTTCTACTTTATGGGGGGTAAGAAAAAAAGAGTTCTGCTCAGTTATATCTTTTGCATACTTTCAGTGTTTTGTCTAAACCAGGAAAAAATAAATAGCTGTAGTGTTGTCTGAGGTTCTCTGTTGTGCTTCTGTTGTACCTTCTTTTTTGTGTATAATGTCAACTTGATGTGAAAAAACAAATAAAGTGTTCATCTTCACAAGAGGTACTGTGATTTTATAAGAAAAAGTTTCTGCCACCAAAAGAGACATGCTTTAATGCTTGCAAACTTGTATTTCAGGTCTCCAACCAGTCTTGCAGAAAAAAATAAATAGATTAAGGATTATTAAAATTCTCATATTTTAGGACCTCAAGTGACAAAATAAACATTTAGTAAACAGTCTTGCAAGAGAAATTTTTTTGAAAGGAATTAACAACTGACATAAATCTGCTTTTGAATATGTTGGATTTTTAAAGTCTGTGCAAACATTGATGTCTGTTGTAGTGATGTGTGTTCACTCTGTTCTTTCTCCTGAACAGCAGTACTGGTCTAACCGGACGGATGAGTTCAAATAAACGTGCATCAAACACTTGCCTGTCCTGGTTTCACGTGCATCACCTAGTATGGTGTCGTCAAAAGTAGCAATGATAGGAATCAAATTCATTTAGAAAAGTGGAGGAAAAAGTTAGTCTAGTGGACAGATCTCACAAGCAGTTTCATGACTTCTCTTCGGCATTGTACCGCCCTCTGGTGGTGGACTGCAGCTTACAAAGTTTGCTGCAGTAATAGAGTGAAGGGCTTTAAAATTATGACTCACCTAATCGACAAATGACAAGCAACACTAATTAAGTTGTCCTGTGCTTTTACACTTGCTTTACTTTTAAAGAACACACCATGGATCTAGCATGGCTGCGTATAACAACAAGACAAAAACTGCAGTTCATTGCAAAATAATTCATACTAATTTTAGCTTTTTCATATTTTGTCAGTTTACAAAAACTAACTTTTGTGTATTGGTTTGTAATTTTATTAGATAAACCAATACAAGGTAGCAATTGTGAAGTAAAAGAGGCGGATTATTACCGTTTTGCTGTGACACAAATCTACCCAGACATGCCCACCTGCATTTACGGACAGGCTGAGCAACCAGAGCATTTATCAGAGAACCAGCCTGAGAGATGTTTATAACTCTGGAGGAGCTGCAGAGATCCACAGCTCACACACTGCGACACACCACAAACCCTGAAGAGTGGAATGATGAAACCCTGATAAACACCAACAAAACAAAACTAAAAATAAAAACAATAAAGTTACTTTCACCAAATCTAGCTTGTTGACACTGCATGTCATCTTGAGCACAGCTTCCCCAAGGTGTGCATGGATCTTGCTAACAGGGGAAGCTTGTTTTTCAGCAGTGACGGGGGAGCTGGTTACGGTTGATGAAAAGATGGAGGCAGAACCTGCAAAAACACTAGAATGAGGCAAAACCCGGGCATTAGCGCAGACTCTAAAGCACCTCACGCCCCTTTCAGGAAGAGCAAGATGCTGCTTGTGAATGCTCCAGTGAAGCAAACCACAGTGTGGCGCACAAGATTGTATCAACAACATGGACTGTCATGGAACCAAAAAATGTGCACTGTTTCTATTGTGGCTCAGCTTTTGGAGATACTAAAATGTGTTTTGTTAATCTTTGGTTAAGATCGATGGACCAAATGATACATAATATATCCAGAGTTGGATATTAATTAGTTGCATTTACTTGGCAAGTTTTCTGGGCAATGAGAGTATATTTAGGAGTATTTTTACTTTTTTACTTTTACTCTGAAGTATCACTAATCTTGTTTGAGTAAAATTTACGGATATTCGGCCGACTGTGAATAACTTCACCAAAACAAGACAAGATCAGCTTGAACCTAAAATTCTATCCTGCAGTTTTTGTGAAAGTTTCACAAGTTTTATATAGAAAGTAACTGATTTGGATTTTTTTTTTGTCCAATTTTGTTGTTTTGTAATTATGTTACTCTTAGGAAATATTTTTCTTTTCATATTTAAAATACCAAAATAGCCACATCACTTTATTTTGGTCCATCAGATGATGTTATTTTTAAATATGAAATAATTGATGTTTTGATGGGTTTCTGTGTACTTGAGCTGACTTTTTCCCAAATACTTTTTTATTCTTGAGTAATTTCTTGGACGACCAGTTTATACTTTTAATTGAGTAAAAATTTGTTATAAGAAGTAGAGCAACTCTTACTTGAGTTTAATTTTTGGGTGCTCTGCCCATCTCTGAATGTATCAGCTCCTCACTTATTCAACATAAGTATTTTTTTTTTTAATTTTCTGTCTTTTTAGACCTGACCAATTCAGAAGTTTTAACCTCTTGATAAAGCTCTATTGTACTCTCAGCTGACACTTTTATGTTCTCATATAGCCATTCACAGGCAGTGTTAAAGTTTCCTCTCTGTCAAAAACTCCAGCGTGCTTCCTCTTTCCAAAAGCTAACAGGCAAGGTGAATTGTTTCACCCGTACGAAACGAGGAAGCGACCTGTAACAATCAAACATTTGCTTCCTCTTTGTGCTCTTTAAGCTCACGGCTGCTCCTCTCTTTCTGGCTACATTATTGGAGACAAACTGGCAGGTCCTTTCCTTGCAGAGCGCAGGTGCGCTTAAAGTTTTTATGAAGGCCACGAAGCTTCTTTTAGATGGACGTGCAGTGCTGTTTAAATTCTTAAAAGGTCCGCTCCTGGACTTGGTCCAAGCTCCTCAGAGCTGCCGAGTTACCTGAGAAGTTTGGAGCAAGTACAGGATCTCTGACCTGGTCTGCATCAAACGTTTTCAGTGTCGTTTCAAAAGCTCAGGAGTTTGAGGTGAGTTTGGCACTTAATGTTCATCATTCACTGGTTTCTTTATTTCTAAATGATCTTCTCTTTATCAATAGGATCATTGGTGAGATAGAGATTTGATTTGGCATTGAGTCAAGAAATGTTTTTGTTAGTTTTAATCAAGTCAAATTGATAGACTGATTCTTAGCTACCTATTCTGAATGTGTAACTGGATAAAATTACAGTGTAAACTGCACCAATAATTTGGTTGGTTACATTTAAGTCTTCACTTCACACTTTGCAAACTGTTTAAAGAAGAAGAAAGAAAAAAAAAGCAAAACACATCCACACCAGGAAATCAACCAATCTGAATTGAATTTTAAAAGTCCCATAAATAAGTGTTCAAATAAGTCAAAGTGAAACCAGAACTTTTGTGTTGAAACGCAGCTTAGTAAAGGACAATTTAACCAAATATTTACTGATCATGGTGTCTAACACATCTGACAATGTGTTGAGAGAAAATCCACTGTTTCTCACTTTAGTTCATTTCTTAGTGGTATCGTAACTGGGAAAATAGTTGCCATAAATGCAGAAAAATGCATTATGAGTGCATTTAAGGTGAAAATAACTACACGAAAGGAGCCAGAGAAAGAGGCAGCTACTTTATTTTCATTTACATTCACAAACACAAAGTCAGACAGAAGCGGAGGAAACCTGGGACCGTAAATGCAGGGGAGACGTTTCCAAATGCATTCAAGACAGACGCAGTTAAGAGCTTAAATGGGAGTGTCACTTCATTGATTCATGCTTACACAAAAATCAGCTCAACATTTTCAAATGTTCTTCTATTAATATTTTAAGAAAAAAAAAATCTAGCCTTTTTTTTTTAACCAAAGCACATTGCCAAGTCACATTTCTGCTGCGTGGAAGACATTTTTCCAAAATGCTATTATTTTAATCAAACATGTGCAGCAGGTAATGTACACAACCTGAAAAACTCAGGAGCAAATAAATGTGCATTAGCCTCTAAAGTATATTCCCTGAGCCAAAAGTAAGCAAAGCGAAACAGCCCTCCAGCATCTAAAATCCACTTTTTTTTGGGCCTAAATTCAATGTATTTCTGAAATGACTGTGGCTCCATCTTAAAACATAGAATTCAGTAGAATATAAATAATCAAAACAAGAATGGATCACATTCTTTCAGGGCTCCTTTTCACAGAAAAAATAAAAAATTTGTATAATACTAGGTTTAACTAATGCCGTGTGAAATAGGGGTCCGTTTTTAAATGTTCAATTCTGTATGTACAGCTGAAAGGAATTGACCTACATGTAGGCTTCTGTAAAATATTTTGCTGTGAGTTAAAGAGGCAACATAATGTGGTAAAATCTGAAAAAGCAGTCACTAAACAAAAAATAAAAATAAAAAAAGAATGGAGTGTCTTTGGTTTTCTTGCTAAAAGCAACATGCTGTTAAATGTATTTGCCCATCTAATCTCTGCAGATTAAGCTCAACATGAAAATATGAACTTTTGTAGTGTATGACAAAAGCATAACTGGTATTTAAGTTAGGAGCAAGAAAAAGTGGGGAAAAAATATTCACCAAAATTAGGATTATAAATATAATTTGGGTTTTTTTTGTTGTTGTTTTTTTGGATTTACATGTATTTTGTTTTCTTTTGTAATCGAAGTAAACCCCCCACACCTCATAAACCGCTTTACCTTTGTGCAAACACTGATCTATGGAAGGCAAGATTCAATATAGTACGGTGAAGCATCGCACTGAGACCAGCTGCATTATCAAATGCGTTTTTGTCTCACTGTACGGCTTCTTAGACTTTGGCACGGACTTCATTTACATTACGGAGGAGGCTGATGGAGCTGAAACAGGTGTCACACCTCACTCATCTGTCAAACACAGATTCCCATCCTGTATTCAGTTTCACTACTTCCAGGATGGCCACACCTTGTGATCACTTCTCCATTGAAATCTAACCGTACACAATGTTTCTGAACAGCTGCTAGCAACGACACCACTTCATACAATCCTCGCCTTTCATTTCAAAACATCAAAATATGCTCTTTTAGAGGCGTGCTTGCCTTGGATTTGAAGGCTTTTCTCTTTTAGAAACGGAACAAACAAACAAACAAAAGAAAACGAAACACATTTTAGAAAGAAGACAAATTATTTGGTCGATTTTTGAGAAGTTCTTTAACTGAATCAGGACACATGTATGCATGTCATTCAAAAACAACACGTGGAACAGCGTTTTGTTAGCAAAGGTGCAGAGGCGTCTGTCACTGACACTCCTTAGTCATCCACTGTAATATTGCGAAATAAGTAGGCCATGGATTCCCCGTTGTGGATGCGGCGGATGGCCTCGGCTAATATCATGCTGACGTCCACCGTCTTGATTTTTGGACACTGTAGCTTTTGCACCTCGTGAGGCACCGTGTTTGTCACAACCACCTGAATACACAAGAACAAATCATGTTCACTTGGTCTTTACAGCAGACTACATTCTCAATTTGACATAAGTTGATGGAAATATTTCAATTGCTGTTTCACAAATGTGATTGTGCTATATGGCCTTATTAGTGAAATATTTTGAAAATGTGTTAGTTTATCACATTAAATGCCAATCAATTAACCTGGTGTTTGCAGTTGTGAAATGACAAAATGTAAATGAATACTTAACTTGTAAGTCATTGTAAATACTGACTACCGGGGAAATGTGTGGTTAACAAGAAATGCTCTAATGTCACTGGAACCACTGCTTTCTGAACACCTGGCAGCTTTTAGGAACAGAAACTGACAGCTTATAAAATTGACGTTGCTGAAAACAATAACTCTTTGTTGAAACAGAAGTCCGCAGAGTCACACAGTTCAGATCGAGTTCCCATTAGTAGGAAGTATTTTACACTTCACTGTTCTCCTAAAGAACAAATGACATCTAAAGAACAAAAGCTGAAGTTTGTTCTCATCTATGTTCTTTAGTTAAGCTCATGTACAACACATTTTAACAGAAAAAGGTGCACACATTTTAAAACCGTAAGGTCCTACATTCTTACCACATCAATAGCGGATTCCTCTATGAGACGAGGAGCATCTGCAGAAAGTAAACCATGAGTGGCCATGATGTAGATCCTATACGCCCCTCTCTCTTTCAGGATCTCTGCAGCAGCAACAAAGTCTCCTACATCATCTATAATGTCATCCTGAGCAGAAAAGCAACAATTTCCAATGTAGTTAAAATATTTTAACTTGTTCACCCAGTTAGAATCGACAGAAGGCAACCAATGATACCAAGAAAAAGGGGGGAGAGGAAATAGGAGTCACTGTAGCAGGAAAAACAAAAAGGGTGGCAGAAAAGAGGCTTCAGAAAGATACACCACAGTCCGGACCGCAACACAAATGATCTTATCTTGTGTTCTATCACACACGGAAAGCATACAGTCTCTCTATCACTATCTCTATTGGAAACAGTTAAAAACACAGATTCATCTGCACATGCATGACATTTAAAAACTGGTTGTGACAACTGTGACCTTCTAATTTCTTACAATCGGTACTTTCTCGGCACCATAAAATATTGTGTATTGGCACAAATGGGTGACATAAAAACACCTTAAAAAAAGAAGCTTGTAAAAAAAACACCTTGAGCAAAACTGGGCTGGTGTTAACAGTTGGTGTTCATTTTCAAAGTGGGAGCAGCACGGGATAATGGGAGTGTTTAAAGGAGAAAGGCAATTTAGATGGCCTTTAAACAAGGTCAAAAATGCAGTGAAATATACACTATATACATATTGTTACATATTGGTTATCACCCAAAATTTTTATGTCTGTGCATCCCTATTAACACCTCTTCTTACATTCAGAAATTATAAGTACAAAAGATTTTAATATTGCATTTGAAGAATCTTACCACTATTATGGCGATTCTTCCACCGACATCTCCAACTACAGTAATCGGAGGTTTCTCTTTGGCCATCATTACTAAAATTGAAAGAAAATTGGGTTACGTCGTATTACTTAGTCAACAGTACTCTTTTTTTTTTTCTTTTTTCTTTTTAGGAATCAAAGATTAAATCTAAGTAGATTGGGTAAAATGGGTTGAGAAAAGGGTTTTTGAGCAACCAGCTCTCCAATTTCAGTATATTTCTTTTTACTAAATTTGATTTCTAAAAATGTGAAGCTAAACTAAAATGACGATCAATAAATCAAAGTCATTGGTTCATGTACCCCCTCCCCTCCATTCTACCCCTCCTACCTGTTAGGAGATCAAGCTGGAAGGCTAACCTAGTGCAAAGCATGCCATGCAAGGGTCAAATGACAAAGGAGTTTCAGCCCAGGATACCCAATCCAAAAAAAAAAAAAAAAAAAACTGCCTTTACAGACACCCACACACACACACACACACCCCTTTAGGCCCAGGTTATAGTAGCAGTCCTCAAACAGACAGTTTAACACACACCAACAGTGGCAAGCACTGATGACAGATTCTTCATATACACTTGCCAATGTTCTGAACCGGTCAGTCAAATCTGAGCGCTGCCAGCAAACAGCCTACATTTCCATGCACACCATCCATCAGTCGCATTATTGCTTTAATGCATTTTGAACAATCCATCTTTATGCTCCACTTAGTTTGGCTTCATCAGCCACAATGAGTTGGCTCACCATTTTTAATACAGAATCTAAACATACACTCAGACAACTGTTTAGCTTATGACAATATATGAATATCCTGGCCTCACTGACATTCACCTGCTGAATACATACATCTGCAATGCTATCTACAGCAAGAGTGAAGTTTACATACACTCATGTTTTACTGCAATTTGCTCCTCAATCATCAGCATGTTTCTGGCTGCATATTTAAATGACTCTTCACATCAGAAATAATAGAGATCATTAAAATGGGATGGTTTTCTTGACAAATATGGCACCTTTAATCAAAGTTAAAATTCAATTTGGAGTTTTGGGAAAGTCTTTTTTTTCTTCCTTAAACTCCTCTCAATGCACTAAAGTTGCACTGAGAAAAAGTTTGCTTAAAAAAAACAGTCAATGTTGGGAATTAAATAATTAAAATGAAGTGTACAATTTACTTTAAGAAAAGTGCTCAAATATCCAGTCACAGTTATGCTAGAAGCTTGTTGAGAGCCACAAAAAACATATATACTTATAATGAAACTTGCTAAAAAGAGACATTTATTTATAACAAAGTTATACATAAATGCATTCAGTGGGGGTGTACATATATTTGTAAAATGTTGACCCCATGTTCATTGCAGAAACTTCTAAATACTTTCAAACTTGTTGTTAGGATAAAATTATTAACTTATATAAACACTAAACATTGTTCTTATGAACTTTTAGACTATGTCTGTTTGTTCTCAAATGTGTGCTTTGTGTAAGATGTTTGTAGGGGGAGATGATGGTGCCAAATTGGAAACAGATGACCTGAAGCCAGGATGAGATCTGGCCTGGCAGGAAGTACCGAAGGTTAAGGGTCATAGTTTATGACCCAGAGATACAGGATCAAAGGAACTGCACGTAAGACTACAGATGCACAAAGAACAGGAGAACTTCATTATTTAGAATAGACTTGTGACTGATTGTGTGTTTGGCAGCTGGGTTTGTTTGCCTCACTCTCGGCTCTTTTGAGTGTACTAAACTTGAATTGTTTTTCTCCTTCCTTCCAGTGTGTGAGAATGTCCAGGTGAATAAACTTGACACTTGTGCAATCAATCATGTTTAAAAATTACTTAAGAGAAAGCATTACTACATTTGTATCAGTGACGAGTCCATGTAAGCATCTTGGACAGAGCTGTCCATATATAATTCATACATATCCGAAATTATTCATGGTTGATGTTTGAGGAAGAGTCTTAAAACAACTATTGATTTACTATGAGATTTACCAAAAATCTTTACAAAAACTAAGAAAATGCATAAAGCTATTTCAAAATACCGGTGTGCATGTAAATGCGGGCAATCAGAGGGATTTTTAGGAAACAATCAACTGGTAAACAATCAGCAAGCCAAGCTGATTGTGAAGGAACAGTTTTAGAAAGCAAAGAAAGGAAAAGCATGCCTTGCAGAACAGTGAATTTCAATCAGCCCCTCAGTGTGAGAAAAACCTGGAATCACTATGTACACCAAGAACAGCAGAATCAACATTGTGATTAAAATACAGTTTACCAAAATCCAACTGTGCTGCATCGTGTAACAACCTGAAAAAAGTCTGGTTAGACTTTTACTGTTTTAAGAAAGGATAAATAAAATCTGCCAATATGCATCATTTGTTGACAGTTCTAGATTAAATGCTGGAATCTGTCAATCATTACATTCCTATTGACTTTCTAATAACAGATCCTTAAAGCATGCTTCATTGTTTCCTTACATGCAATCATGACACAAGGTTAATCAGGTTAAAAGTGGTTTAAAAATGGCAGCGTGTGTTGATTGGCAAGATGAGTCCAACGGGAAAAAAAAAAAAAACAAACAAAAATAATAAAAAAAATTGACGCAGTTCTGGTTTGATTTAAGGAAACTAAAATTAGAGCACCACAAAACAAAGAAAGTTTAAGCCATCTTGTAGAAGCAGCTGTCTGGAATCATACGAAGGTGCAGTAAGCATGGCGTCTGTTCAGTTCAAGACAAACATGCCACACAAACTGCTGCTGGGAGAAAAGTGGAGATCAAACGGCCAATTGGACAAAAAAAAACAAAAAAAGAAAATCAACAATGTCAGCTTCATTATTTGGAGAGTCAATATTCCACCAACTTCCCCTCGTGAATCCAGACTGTATGTTTCTCAAGATGCAAAAACAAACCCATTTTTTTCTATGCATGCACAACTTGAAGTAGAATTTGAAGAGGAATCATTTCATGGTCAGATATAAATTAAATTTAGGTCGTACTTGGAAGCTCTATGCCAGGGAACGGAGCTTGTTGTTTGCCTGCTATTGTCGACAAATAAACACCACATTAACACAAATGCACAAGTATAGCACATGATACAGACTGTTTGCCAAGACTTAGAAAAAATAAATAAATCTGGGTTGAAAGTAATTTAAAAAAATAATATCACTAAAGCAGACTGACTGAAACGTCTAAAACAAAGTTTTTGTTTGTTCAAAACATGTATAAGTGGATCTTATAATCTCAAAGTTAAGCATGGGAGCACAAAGAAGTACTGAGACCATTCAATCGGAGTCATTTGCCAGTGACACACCTATTTGATTTTGGGTTTCTTTTGATGACACTCTAATACATAATGATCAAATACGTGCCAGGAAACAAGCAAAGGGGATGTTTCTTTAAATATGTTGTTGTTTCAACCCACTCCACATTAGACTTCTCTTGGACCTTAAAGACTGCTAGGACACAGCTGGATTATGGGAAATCCAGGACTTCACATCTGGACAGATTGTCCCAATCCATACTAAAATCATACATATAGAATATTTTTGCTTCTCCACCAGCAGTTTTAGCCTTGCCTTAAAAGAACCCCAGGGGTTTTTCATCCATTTTGACATGTACAGCTTTTAGCTACGAATGAGCATGTCAGATTTTTGCCTGGTGTGTGTATCAGTCAGGAGTAAAAGCCAAAAATAAGTGTTTTTCATTGTGAACTGATTACATCCAAGGTTCAAAAGCTTGGTTATTTTTTTAATGACACACATTGCAACCATTTTATAAGTGTATTTTAAGCCTCCATAAACCTGTGCGCACACTTTTATTCCTCATTCTCATCACTAAATATAATGCCCAGCCTTCTCACTGAAATGTAACAAATACATTTGCATCCAAACTATAAATCTAGGGACCTTGTACCCTCCTTCAGAGCTTCAAGTTCTATACAGTTTGGAGGTGTGTGCACTTTTGGAAAAAAAATGCTTTTTTTTGCGCAGTATTATTTTTCCGAATAATACTGCGCAAATTATTTTTAATATGCCTGGCAGATTTTTCATTTCTTAATATAATCTTATTCCAGTGTGAGGTGGAGGCCTGCTGTCGGCAGACTGCCACGGATGCTTTGTGAGTAGAACTAGTGTTTCTGTGAGGTCATGCAATGACATAAACTTAATTACTTTGAGTATGAATAATGGTATGAGTGAGAAACAGCACAATCATCAGCTCAAAAGAGGTTAGCACTTGTAGAAGTTGTATTAGACTGTTAACTACCCTTTCAATGCAGACATTTAAACGTGTCACAGAAAGGTAAACAAGGCTGCATTAATGATGCTACATTCAATTTTGGTTGTCTGTAATAGTTTGTGGTCAAGAAAATACATTCTTCTCATCTAACAAGTCACAGCATGTGTTTAAAAGTTAAAGCTTTGGAAAACTGATGAATAAAAAGTCACGTAATTGCATGAACCAACAACAGGGGACACATATTATTTGTGAAATGTTGGATAAAGTGAAGTTCTAAGTGAAGAAAGACCGGGCTCTCACTAGGCAGCTCCAGTCCTGTGTGCCCTGTGGTGTTGCGCACACATGGCGGGGAGTGTCTTCCATCGGCCATGTCCGACTCGGCACATTGGGCCTCGCCGTGGATCACAGCCAGACCCAGTCGGAGACGTTCTGCATAGGACTGAGCCCTGCAAAAACAGGAGACTTCAAATAGGTAAAAATGGATAAAAGGATAAAGTAGGCCTCTACTGTGATTTCAATGTAAAATCAATGTAATGTTGCCTAACATCTGATACCTTTTAGCTGCAGCAGGTGACTTTGCCACAATTATAGCATTTCTGTAATCATGAATCTGTCCGAATAAAGAAAAGCAGGTGTTACCAATTCTTCCAATCTCTGTTTTGCTTTGATTATTGTTTCAATGAAAGTCATAAGATGAAGACACAAACACAACAGCCACCTCTTCTTGTATGTACTGAATCAAAAACGGGGAGGCTCGCAGATTATCCACTGGAAAGCTGAAAAAGCCTTGGATCTCTTTCTGATGCAAGTCCATGGTGATGATATGTGTCAATCCTTCAGAAGGCACAAAAATAAAATGTTAATGAGAGAGGCCTTTTTTTTAATTCTACTGTTTGCTTTTGCTTTGATCCCTTTACCTGCTTTAGCCAACATTGAAGCTAACAGTTTACAAACTATGGAGCCCCTCTTCCTCATTTTGCACTGCTTGCTATAGGGGAAGTAAGGAATAACTCCAATGATGTTCTTTGCACAGGAAGTCTTAAGAGCATAAGCCATAATAAGGAGCTCCATGATGGCTGTGTTGACATCTCTGGTAATAGAAAAATAAAGAAGAGGCAGTTAAAGATCTGGGTTAGAAAAAAATTCAGCTGTGATAAAAATGAACTAATTTTCTGTACTCACCTTGGTATGGTTTGGATAATGAAGATGGTCTGCCCACGAACAGACTCTTTCACATCAACTCTTGTCTCTATAGCAAGGGAGGAAAATGTAATTTTACACAGACAGCAATTTTAGCAAGAAGCTAAAAGTAAACAAACGCCGTATAAACAATCAGTATTTTATGTTGGAACATTTGCTTACTGTAAATAAAGGTTCAATTTATCATATAAATTGAAACACTGACATTTCTAACTATAATTTCTTAAATTTTAAATCAACTTTAAAAGCCTGCATTTTATTTAGAGTTAATATACATAATCAGAGCATGTGAACAAGTAAAATGCTAATTTATTCGCTGTCCTAAATCAGAAATCATTTAGCTGAATGGGGGGGATTTTAGATTTTTTTTTCTTACCTCTATTAGATTCCTGAAAGACGACAGATTTTCCCAGCTCAACACCCAGCCTCCTGCAAAACAAAAGCATACCTTTGCACGGATTTTTCAAGCAACTGTGTAATCTCAGGATTATTCTGAATTTCTAGCATTGTTCATTGATTCATGAATGACAAATCCCCTGACCTGCTCTGCCTCTTTTAATGTCCCTTTATTTGTGTCAGTTAGCAGTTACACCCGAGCGAACACTAGCTAAACATTAACTAGTGCTTTGGAGTACTCACTCTGTTATCTTCTTAGCCAACTCTGTGCAAGCGACGGAGGAGTTTGCAGAAAACACACGGTAGCCACTTTTAGCGACATTCATTCTGCAAGCTCGGTGTTTTTATGTCACAGAAAGTACAGTCAGTAACGCCACTTTATTTAAACCCAACCCAGCAGGAACGTTTTAGCTTTTTCTTAAAACGACGCTCTCGTCGGCTAGCTAACTGCCGCACACTAGCGTCTGCAGTAAAGTGAGCTAATTTATTCGAGAAAAAGAAAAAAAAAAGGCTCGGTGTGGGACACAAACTTGACTAGATATAGAAGGGAAATAAATACAGTTACGTTGGCGTGTCTAGTTACGTGTATTACTCGCGAAAAGACAAATGATCCAGCCTATGCTCTATCAGGTTGCATGGTAACCTGACAGCGATCCACATTTGAGAACTACGGAGCGGCCACTGGGTCAATATTGCCGGCTACGCGCTGCAGTGTGTATGTAAACGACTGGACAGCGTTTCTGATCCAAAACCAGTGCTGTGTGAAGAACTAAAACTACAAGCCTTTTAATTGTTTGCATTTAATATTTACAATTTCGATTTATTTCTGTACGACGGAGCAAAAAAGATAAACAAATACCATCCACGCGATGTTTGTTTATCTTTATGTAAAACACATATCTTGATGTGTTTTACATAAAGATGTGTAAATCACATTAAAATCTGTGAATATTTCATTGGATCAATGCAATCCTTCAATTCTGAAACAAAAGTAAAGAACTGAGGCTAAAAGAGAGTTAATTTTAACAACTAATTGTAATATAGTTTCATTGAAAGTCATTAAAATGTAAGTCTTTTGACCTTCCACAAGGCCTTTGACTAACTTTAGCTAAAAATGACAAGTCAGTTAACATTTTACTTTTAAAATACAACTTTTAAAGCTTTTTTAAATTGAATAATTTTATTGAATGTCTATTACAGAATGACACCGAAAGTATTAGCCTATATTTTAGATACTTTCAGTGTCATTAGGTTGTAAAATCACAAAGTGTACGTGGACAGGGATGTCTTCTCACAACTTGTGATGAAAGAAGTCTTTCCATAGAGTAGGACAATTAATCAGTTCTGTCTTTGTATTAAAATGTGGGATTTGAATCGAATAATAAATCTTCAGGTTAACAACATGCAAGAAGACAACCGACGCTGAGTCACTTTATCATAATGCATTGTCAAATTGTTAAATTAATCAGATTAATTCTTCCCTTACATCTAAACATATGTTATTACTTTTGCCAAAGGATGCAGAAACACTTCATTCTTTGAGCCTGCTTCCATGGTATTCCAGGGGATGGCAGCAGAGTACAGCAACAGTTTTTATTGATCACGTTGTGAAAAACTGCTTCAAGCTTCAAATATGTTGAAGGGAATTCTGGTTTTCTGCTGTATGCATGTAACTGTGGGTTTGCAAGCCTGAAATTTTATTTAAAACCAAATCTAAACCACTTTAAGCCACATATCTGATCCGACATAATGACAATAGAAAAGCAATAATAACAACCAAAACTATTGCCATAAGAAATTATTATTAATAAAAAGCCACCAAGATCCCAGAAAAGTGTGTTAATCTAATTTCAAACCTCATAAACAGTGATTCGTTACCTAATCAGAAATTTTCCACAAGCAACATTTCTGTCACATTTATGAACATAAAAGTGGTGAGTGTATTGCTAAAGGATTTTTTTTTTTTTCAAATCCCTCTGAAATTTATTATGTCAGGAAGACAGTAGCCTAATGGGCTGGAGGAGGGTATAACCTGGCTTCCATTCTCTGATGTTCATGTTTGGAGAAAAGGTAATGAAGACTAAATTATGTCTTTGCAGCATCATTAAAGCAAAACAGAAGATAACAGAGAGGCAGCGCCTCTAACAACAGCTCCGCAAAACAAATAAAACCGATCGCCAAGGCAGCGTCGTCGTAAAAGCTTTTACGTTCTCTGATCAGTAATTTGGTGGGAAAGGAATGTTCTGACTGACAAATACTTATCTACCTTCTGCAGCTATTATTTCAAGAAGTCTGAAAACAGGATTTAGGTCCCCCATCATCTTGCAAATGTCAGCAGATTTTTGTGTTTGAAGCTTGCTTCCTTTGTGTTTTTCCATTGTTGTACACATCTGAGGCACAGTTATGTTATCTTGCAGGAAGAATGTCCTGAGTTCAAATCCCAACCTCAGATCCTCTGCATGGAATTTGTGTTTCCCTTTGTTGGAATCTCCAGGTCAGGGATGTCAAACGCCAGTCCTCAAGGGCCGGTGTCCTGCAACTTTTAGACGGACCTCTGCTGCACTACACCTCAATAGAATAATTAGGTCATTAACAAAGCTCTGGAGAACTTATCTACACATAAAATTAAGCTATTTTATTTCAGCGTTTTGTAGTTGTGGCACATCTGAAAACTGCAGGACAGTGGCCCTCAAGGACTGGAGTTTGACATCTCTGCTCCAGGTATTCTAGCTTCCTCCTTCAGTTTAAAACATGAGCTAAACAGATTTTCTAAACAGCCTAAATACATTTCTTGTTCAATAGAAGAAAAAGAATATCCTTTATTGTCCCACTGTGAGGGAATTCAGCAGTCACAGTAGAAAGTTAAGGTAAGCAGGTATGCGTATTCACACAAAGGCAAAATATAGAAAAATTAGGGATAAGATACTGTACAGTCAGGACAAATTTATAAATAGGAAAAAAAAAAAACAAAGCGGAGCAATTTTAATTAGAAATTAAAAATGTTTAAAACTCAAATTCCATATTTTCATAATAAGTACAGCTCAGGTCAAACACGAGGTGATTAAAACCTGGACCAAATGGTTTCTCCAACAGGAAAATTCACCCAAAATCATATCAGAACTGGATTTTAGAAAATGTCTCTCTAAAGGTTCAACATATGCTTCAAGACAGACAAGAAAGCAACCAACTTAAGACAATTCTACCCAGATGCCTGGCTAAAAATCTGCCCCGAATTACCCCAGAGGCTTGTCAACATACAGGGTCCGTTTTGCCAAGGGACATTTGTTGGGGTGTGTGTGCTGTTTGATCTAGAGCAAACATTTTTAACCCCATGTAGCTTAAAAAAGTCCACAGTAAATTCAAAATTTTGCAACAATTTTTTTTTCTTAAAAAACATCATTGTTGCATGAAGTTCTGGGCTGTTGACCAAAATTAAGTTGATATTTTTGTGCTTGAGAAGTTTAAGCAAATGTGTGTATGAAGAACTTGACCAAGGACACATTGATACATCCACACACATAAATATTTAAGTAGTAGCAAAAGGCAGAAGACTGAGTTGTAACCTCTTTAACAGCCCTCACAGCATTGACAAAAACACATGATCTAACTGTAAAGGACATCTAATACAAGTTCACAATAACAAATAGACACAAACACGCAGATTTATTATTGGCTTGTAAAAAAAGAAGAAAAAAAAAGCCTTGAGTTTGTTTATGAATATAAACACAACTGTAACTGACCTCAGGTCAATGGGTGTTACAGCAAATGAGGCCAAAATAACTAAAAGCCCCAGCAGGAGATTTGGACATAACTCTGAGAAGCTGTGAGGTCTGTAAGACTTCCTGGCATGTCTTTGATTTGCTGATTCTTTTGTTGCAACAGCTGGTTTTCCTTTCCATTGACGACCTATAGAAAATGACATTTTGTAGCAAATCTTACATTTCCTCAGCTCCCACAAGATGTAGAAGTCATTTGCTTAAAAACAAGACTTTTTGTTTTAAATTACAGTCATATACTCTCTAGTTAAACAACTCTGATTTTATAGCCTTGTGACCTGTCCACTCCCTGGAAGATTTACAATTACCATCTTTCTTTGTAATCATCCTGTAACCTGTCATAAAATTACTATCCTCTCTTTGTATGATTCAAGACATGAAAACAAGTTCAAAGCTGGAGCACATGTACTGGCAGGTAGCGGCAAATAATTTCTAAACTTTTAAATGGAAAATTATTGAGTTGGTTTGATATTACTCCCAGATCCCAGACTGTAGGGGCCGGTGTCCCAAGAAGTCCAGTCCAAAGCTATTCACAAATGTTCACTCTTGCAAGTCTGATCAAGTAAAAATTATTTGTTGTCTTAGAATACCTCCAGAGGAAATATGCGTAGTATAGTCTTTTCTGCCTGTGCTGTGCATACTGTTAGACTTTTGAATAATGTTCCTTGTAGGTCTCTTACATAATACCTACCCATAAATCTGATGAGCTTGAGCTGACTTGAAGTGTTCCATTTGCTTAGACATTTCAGACATACAGTTGCATATATCATCAAACTAGAGTCTTGTGTTCTTATTTTGTTCACTATCAAAGACCGGGTCAATGTTTAACGCGCGTTTGTACTTTGTACAGCAACCCACACTTGCTTTGCAAGGCAGATCTTTAAATTGTTTTAGATTTTCCCACATATTTTCATCTACAAACACAAACTTCAATGTAATTTGTTTGGAATCTTCTGTGGGGAGGAGTAACACAAATGAATGAAAATGAAATGTTTTCATCACATGATTTTCAAAATGTACACATACAAGTAAAAAAAAAAAAAGGCATGCTATGTATTTTTTCTCATCTTTTGATGACCCTGAGTAAAATCTGGTGCAAACAATTGCTTTCTGACGTGTGCTGACAGGACATCTATTAATCATACTCTCTTTGCATCTGCCCTCGATGGAGGAAAAAGGGGCGAGAAGAAACTTGTTGCTGAAAGGTAGCCATATTTTTGCTTCCACTAATTTCCAGTTAACTACAAGTCATGGGGGGACACAGCAAACATATGGGAGAAGGTGCTCTGGTCTGCTGAAACTACATGTAAGTTTTTGTAGTTTCACCAAAGACAAAAGTCAACGCTGATGCTTGACTAACATGAGATCACATGTTCTGGCGGAAAAATTACCCTAAGCTAGGGTGGTTTAGATCAAAGTATGTTCATTTAAAGGATCGTTTATAGTAAGATTTGAGAATCGATGATGACAGATGCTCTCTATCCAATCAGAATAAGTTTGAGATATTCTTCAACAGAAAAGTGGAAAAAGTTCAAACCGTGTCTTCCATCAATCATAATGGCTAAGGATCATAATCAGGAGTTCAACGTCTCTCTGTTCACTTTTCTGATCATCCTGGAAAAAAACAGGTAGAATGAAGCAACAAATGCAGCTGAGGTGGATGATAGTGTTACTGTGAAATATTGTCTCCACTCAATATTGCAAACTGAGCTGATAGTATGCCACGACATCCATGAGAGTATCAAACGCTAAGAGTCTTCAGTCAGAGGCTTTTTTAGATTTGTTGCGAGATTGACTTCTACTGGAGATCTTTCTTACAGCTAAAACAGCTTTTTGCAGATCTTTGGACACAATGGGTTACAACCTATAGCTTACCTTTAGGATTATAAGAGTATTATTTTTTTATTGAATTTATTTGAATTTGAAAGAATGATGACTAAAATATTTCACTCTCTAGATACGTAGCATCACCAGAGACATGCAGCAGCTACAGTAGCAAGAAGATTTTATTGAACAAATTCTTCACATTTCAGATTTTTATCTGTTAAAAAACGTTTTCCAAACACTGTGTGTAGTAAATTTTTTTGATCCAGGTTAAAATGTCCTGCATATCTCACCCACCGTGGAGCAGGAGAACACAGATCTATACATTTTTTTGTTGTTTTTAGTCTTGGCCGTGTCAACACAAGTGAGACATCTCTTCCCACTGAGAACAACTGCCACCACAGAGCTGGAAAGTGTACGTGTGGGTGTATCAAGGGTGTGCACATAGAATTTGAAATGTAAAGAAATGAAAAACACCCCAACATAATCTAGTTCTAGTCTGCGACAGAGATCAGCAGTGCTATAACTACACTAGCAGTGCCATGTAAGAAATTGAACATGATTGCAGGTTAATCCCGTGGACAGTCAGCAACGGTTTCTCTCGAGGAAAAGTTCAGAGTGTGCCTCTTTATCTTATAATAACGCCATGATGTTATATTGCTTCCAATGCTCCCGCTCTGCAAGCATGACATGTCTGGCTCACCTATCATGGATTTGTGTCTGATCCCATTATGTTTTCATCACATAACACCTACAAAAGGTAAAGTGGACAGAGGGAGGAATAGAATGTAGCAGGGTGGGTGCAAAGTAGGAAAGGAGAGTGTAAAAAGAGAGACCCACAGAGGCTCCTCCTCGTTCACCGTGTGTGCTTCTTGTGTTTTTCTCATCCGGCTTCTCACTCACACTCTCTCGCTCAGCAGAGGCTCAGAGGTAGGGAGCAAAGATTCTCACTTAGAAAGGGTGGAGAGAGAATTTGGAGCTTTTCTTTATTTCTCTCTTTCTCTCCCTGAGAAAGAGACACCAAAACAACAAGAAGGAAAAAAAAAAAAGGTAGAAAATATTGTGTTTATTCTGGGGGAAGGGTAGTGCCACCAGAGCCAGCCAGTCTGCCTGCCTGCTGCATGTGCTCAGCCTGCTTACACACTGTGTTTCCAGATGGAGAGGAAGCAGGGAGAGGTGGACCACCTGGAGCGCCCGGGCCCACTGACTGACAAGGAGAGGGTGATGATCCAGGACTCGTGGGCGAAAGTCTACCAGAACTGTGAGGAGGCCGGGGTTGCCATACTGGTCAGGTATTTCCATCTGCTGTTTTAGGTTTTGATTCATGTGAATGTGGCTCTGTGACAGAGTGTGGCAAATGGGATGCAGTTTTCTTTTTCTTTTATTCTTTTTCTTATCTTTTTGTCTTTGCCCTCCTTTGCAACTTTGATCAGTTTCAGAACCATGAATTTGACCTTCCCCCCTCTCTGGAGCTCACATGTGTTGATGCATCTGCTGGAGCCTGCGTGTATACGACCTATTTTCCCCGGAAATACGAACAGATTCCAAACTGAAGGGTTTTCCACTTCAATACAAATGTTTTCCATGCGACAGCCTTATCTCTCACTATCCTCTTTGTTTTCTCATCTAATCAAAGCAAATCGTTAAAATCCATCATGGAAACATCTTTGGCTGTCCTTCCGTTGAAGCACAGGCCATGCTTTGAATACCTGCCGCCACAGGACTCCATCACTCAGCAAGAGCTTTAAGTCTTCCCACAAATCAAAGGGCTTTGAGTTTATTTTAACTTCTTTTATTTTTAATACACTCAATCACTCATTTCAGCAATTGAATTAATCTATTTATGGGAATTTCGCAGAGCCATTGGAGAGACTCTCGCGGTCGCTGTCTTTTTTTAGCATAGCGCTGAAATCCAGTAATGAGAAACTGTTGCAAAAGTCAGCCATCTGCACGAATGTGTGGAGGCTTTTGACATTTGTTCATGTGTGACGGGATTCGCCACATGACACGGCGTGCCTTAATAATCCTTTTTGATTGCGGAGGGGTATCATGTGAGTGGCGTCATGCACCGCTAGTCAATCAACGTGTGTTTTTTCATCCTCTCAGATTGCTGAAGAAGGGGACTTAGCCTCGTAAAAGTATTCACACCCACTTCAATTGTTTTTTCACATTTTCCTACACTATGATCTGAAACGTCAATGTATTGTCCTATGGGGCAGACCAAAACAAAAGACAACTGTGAAGTGGAAGGAAAAAAAATACAAGTTTTTGGAAGTTTTTATAGTTAAAAATCTTAAAAGTGTGGCAGGCATTTATATTCTGGCAGCTTTCATCCTTTTTGCAATTTTTAGTCTTTAGCTGAATGTTTTGCCTACCTTTCTCCATTCGAAGTGTCCATTCTTATTTATAAAACAGCTCAATTTCAGATACACTGGATGAAAATCACTTGAGCTCATACATTTAGTCTTGCAGTAGATTCTCAATTGAATTTAGGCATGGACTTTGACTGGACCATCTACGTGATTACATGATGATTTCTCTGGCTACATATTCAGGATTAGACCTCAGAACCATAGAGCCTCTTTTGCAAGTTTTCTTCCAGGACCGTCGTGTATTTTAGTGCCATCCATTATCACATCAAATCTAACCAGCTTTTCCGTCCCAGCCGAAGAGAAGCGACCCACAGCATGATGTTGCCACTACCACGTTTCATACTGAGGATGATGAGTTTAGGGTGTTAGTTTTCCACAGAATATTTTTTTTCTGTCATCTGATAAAGTTGCTTACTTATTTAGTGACTCTTGTTGCTTTATGCAGCATAAGAATATGTTTCAAAATGTAAAGACACGGTAAGGTGGTTTAAGTCATTCAGAAACTAAATTGTTTAATCCTCAAAACATCAAAAGTCTCCCAGAAGGAACTTTTTCAATAAAACCTTGTTTTTGAGATGAAAATAATTATTTATATCCAATAAATGGATGGACTCTTTCTTATATGCGTTCAGTATTTGCTATAAATCTAAAGCAGAAATCCATTAACACTGTTCAGTGATGCATTTATTAATCACATCCCTGGCCTCATTGCTTATCTTAAATATAAGATAGAAGATAAGCTTTGTTGCTTATCTTGTATGTGCTTATTTAGTGCTGCATGTGGTGACCTATACCACATGCAGCCTTAGTGCTGCATGTGGTATAAATCTAAACCACATGCCTTCACAGTCATGTGGTTTAGATCAAGAGATCAAATACTTCACATACTGACTCTTTTACTACTCAAGCATCACTTTGAAGGCAAAACAATGGTTGCTCTGAGTGAAATTTAGGGGCAGTAGCGGAACAAATCAGTGGAACAAGTCAGAGTCAGGCTGGGGGGCAGGGCTAATGACCCGGCCCTTTATACCCACACAATAAAGCTGGCGATAATTTAACTTTACAACATAGACATACCTGTGGAGCTCACACGTTTCACTACCACAGAGAGCGACTATGTAATTCTGAAATCCATCTGACATGAAGTACAACAAACCAAGAGAACAACAGAAAAATCAGGCTACTGGTCACTGATGATGAAACGACACACATTCAAAGTAGTTCAGAACCCCGGATAGCGATCGGATCATTTTAACACTTTTATCTTCAGAGTGTACTTCAGAGCCTGAAGCCTAAATGAAGGTTAAGCATGTTTATGTGGATGTGGATCTTTTCAGATCCACATTTTCCATTCTTACATTCCATCACAGAGATTCTCAACAGCCGTCAGGAATTTGAAGAATTAATACTGATCGGAAAACCTGGCCCTGTGCAATATTCCTCCAGGCTGTAAGAAATACATCCTGTCGCTTTGCCGAAGGACCTCGGCGCTAATATTAATCCTACATAATTACAGTCTTTTTGGCGAGCAGATAAGATCGACGAGCGCAAATCACAGAGCTCCCTCTCTGAAATTAGAAGCTGTCTTCAATTCAGCTCCTCAATTATTCTTGAGAAACGATAAGGAAGGATTAAGAGTTCAATGACCACAGAAAATTCTAATTAGGCTATTTATATGCATCCACAGGTCACGCAATTACAAGACAGAGAGATTAAACACTGTCGCTCCTCATTAGTTTGCAGCAAAACAGGGACCGTGAAACTCCGGCATTTTCAAAGCCTTTCACCCATCTGAACTCACTGAGCGCACTCTAACTTCCTCCCTTTTCACATGTAAAACCCCGATATGTAAGCATATGTGTCAGAGCTAGTAGGAAAGAAATATTTGCTTCCTTTTTGTGTAAGCAGTTGCAGAGCCAGGGGGAGATGGGACATCTTGATTTGATAACCAGCAACCAGATGCTTTGGCCCTCTTCCCAGAACTGTGTGAGGGGGGGGGGCTTTTAAGGTTCCTTTTTGCAAAATTCACTGCGATACCTCAAGCGTGGATGCAATTAAAGGAAAACATCAAAGTGACCATTTGTTCTTTGAAAGGCCCAAGTTGAATCACGTCATGTGAATGAATAAGAACTAGACCTGGAACTTCTGTTGAGGCAAGAAGACTGCCTGTCCCTCAACACAAAGTGAAGAAAAATATACGATGTAATCATTGCTGCAAGTAACTTTAATTGTTACACATGAATGGGAAATCAGACCTGACAGGGGAATTCTTCCAAAAAAGCAAGATGAAGTTCATAAGTCTACCCTTTTGCCCTATTTCTGCCAGAAACCAACAGAATATCTAGCTGTTGGGACTGTGGTTTGTTCTATTGTTTAACAGCTAGAAAGGTTGTCGGTCCAAATCATTTGGCGGTTTCCATGCTTTGTCTGAGCAGTGGCAGATATTTGCATTGGTTCTACGGTTTCTCAAACCCCAGAACAAGGCCTCTTAGTCTCTATAGTGCATATAGATTTAATGGTTGTAAAAATTGTTACTCTGAGTTGGTCCTATGGTGAAAAAGCGCTGTGTTGAATTTGTACCTCGTCCCTCACCAATTGCCATCATTTTTCCTCAAGTTGTCTGAACAGGATAAAGTGGCTACAGAGGATGGATGGAAGGGCTCTGATTGGAAATATGTAGCTTTGGCTTGTAAAAATCTGAACCTCACAACTCTATTAAAGTTTTTCTTTTTCACTCTCCACTTCAGTGGCACAACACCTTTCTTCACACCAAGCATCTGCATTTTGAGATCTATCTTAAATTGTCTAGTCCTCATTGTTTTGGACAAGACAAAACAAACATAATGAGTGTGGTGACTCACACCCCAGTGCTCATGTACTGTACAAAAAAAGGGGTACATCATGAGCAATGCATGCAGAGACTTCCATGTTTCACTTAATGTACTTTGCTTCTTTACATTTGGGCCTGCATGATATTTTTTACATGCCAAAATGCATGGCAAAAAATAAGTAATGTGACAGCATCCATACCTCTGCCAAGTCTTCCTTTCACTAGTCAAGGCTTTGGGCAATGTCTAAAATTTACCTCTAATGTTCTTCGTCTTCTTCGCAGACTGTTTGTGAACTTCCCTTCATCCAAGCTATACTTCAGCCAGTTCAAGAACGTTGAGGACGCAGAGGAGCTGGAGCAGAGTCCCCAGCTCAGAAAACATGCCCAAAGAGTCATGAACGCCCTTAACACGTTGGTGGAGAATATTGACAACTCAGAAAAGGTGGCCTCAGTGCTGAAGCTACTCGGCAAAACCCACGCACTCAAACACAAGGTGGACCCAGTGTACTTCAAGGTGAAGACTGTATGAATCAAATCATGACAAACGGTGGGCATGTAAAACATTCAGATATAAAGAAAGAATACATCCAGCCACCTGAGATGCAGTAAGAATTGTGATTGAGAAGTATTTTATTCAGTTAAGGCTGAAACTCTAAAGTTTACACCAGGTATTTCCATGCAGTGTATTCAGTGGTGTACCCTTTATTTTCACTGTTTGTTTTGAAATTAGACTAGACATTTTCAGTTTTATGTTATATAGTATTACCAGATTTATCTCTGTATGCTGAATCTCAGAATCAGTAGCAAGACAATTTTCTGTAAAGAAAGCATTTCAACAATAATGTTCTTCAAAGACAGAAGTTTGCATATATTTCTTTAGTCATTAAAATAATGGCCCTTTTGACTTGTGTGACTTCAATATTCTGGGAGCAAAATTAATAACAACAGCTGGTTTTTAATGATATTTCAAAAGTATCCTAAAATGTCGAACTCTAAACTTCGCTTTGAGGTAAATTACTTGTTTGCGTCTTATTTAGATCCTGAGCGGCGTGATTCTGGAAGTCCTGGGAGAAGAGTATCCAGAGGTTGTGACGCCAGAGGTGGGCGCAGCCTGGACCAAACTCCTCGCTACTCTCTGCTCTGGCATCAAAGCCGTCTATGAGGAAGTGGGCTGGACTCAACAATCAACCTCCAGCGGCTGAAACCTGCAGATGAGCACACCTCCGACGGGGATCTTATTATCGCTTTGCAGCTTCATGCAATAGCAATCAGATGACTGTAATATGACAATGCAGTTTGTTGTTATCTATGATAATCATGGACAATATAAAATGGATATAACATAAACAAATATAGGAACACGTCCTGTAACCTTTTTATAGCTAGCGTTGTGTTTGTGAGAGAAAGAGAGCACCCCTTCCCCGTGATTGTTCTCTTTCAAAGACCAACCCATTTAGGATGCAGAAAAGAGACGGAGTGGTAGAGAAGAGGTCACATTTGACTCGGGTGTGCCTTCTATTCAATGTGTCCATGTAGAAACTGAAATGTAAGCAGGAGTCTTTCGAAATGTTCAAATGCTTTACAGATGTTCTCTCTTTTTACGCCGCACTTACTTGTGTCGGTTTTGTTATGTTCTATGAAAACTGGAGGATTTCTACATTTTCAACAATAATGCTGATGATTGTACTTCTTCCCCCCCCCCTCATTGAAACTCACATTTGTATGTGTTACTGAGGATACTTTGAAGTAAACAGACAATGGAAAACCTTCTGATTAAGACTCATAGTGTTATTTTATTTATTTATTATTTCTGGCTCGTACAAAACTCCCTTTTTTCCATTCACTGTTTTTGAATAAGTGTTGCAACTATACACTGTTTGTGACAAAAAGCATTTACCACCTTACAAATTTAAAAAGCTTAAACAACCTAGCCCCAATGTGGAAGAATTTAGACCACTCATCTTTGTTGAATTGTACAAATTTAGTCACACTGAAGGGTTTCAAGCCTGAATTACATTTTTGTCATTCAGACTTTGACTAGGCTACAATTTTCATTTTTGCCTAACCAAAGCCTTTTCGAGTCAAAGGAGAGAGAATTGGATACAAGGATCCATCACTCCTGCTTCGGCATGATAACATGCCGAAGCAGGATAACAACTCCAGACCATCACACTACCACCTACTGGGACAGCTTCTGGATACTGTCACTTGTGTTATAGGATATTTGTGTTGTTTAGTGGTCAGCAATGGTTTTTGTCCTGCCACTCTCTCCTGGCTGGGATTTTCTTATAGTGTCAAAAAAACAGACCCAGACTATGTGTTATTGTTTCTGCTGTGTTCTCCAGGACAAAACATCACTATTTTTGTAGAAACTTTGGTTGGCTGACAATATTTTTGCCTTTAGTGTATAATGGGTCTCACTCTGAGTTAGTGAGTGTCAACATGTCTCACTTTTTGAGATCTTTTAACTTCCTTTAGGGCAAATCCTATCAGAGATTCTTCAAGCCTGGCAGTAGTAAGGCTGAGTTGTGGCTGATAACAGGAGAGTCATGGATAAACAAGATAACCTTTTTTCAAAGGTCGACGTTTCATGTTTCACTGGCCAAAAATAAGTTGCCACGGAAGAGCTCAACAGTACGGCACTCTGACCTTTTTAACATGCGTTTGAGTGAATTAAGATCTAATCAAGAGGACGGCGTATGATCAAATCATGCAATTAAGAAGTTGATAGAGGAACTGTTAAATTTGTGTTGTTAGACTGAACACAATTGATTTTTAGTTACAGGGTTTGTGAGATGTCAGAATGCTTTGCGGATTGTGTGATATGTGGGTGTGTTCAGAAAACTGATAAAAGACTTTGTGAAGCTTGATTTGGTCAGAGCCGCGCCCAGAGAGCAAAGGGGTCTGACCAACTTATTGCAGCACGCAATAAGTTGGTCGGGACTCAGGACAACGGTTTTAATCATTTGAGTAAGAAGGTTTTTCCATTTCAATGGTGTTTTTTTTTTTTGCCCATCCAAATAAAATATCAGTAAAAAGCACTTTTTAAATTTACTCATATTATCTTTGTCTAACATTTTTTGAGGATGTGAAACATTGAAATTTGACACAAAAAAAACATAAAAAATAAAAAATAAGCGTATACTAAAATTCCCCCCTTCTTGGAATGTAATTAACGTCTGTCTTGTTTAAAATCAATATTACGTCCTTACAGCAAGCTGCAGGTTTGATTAATTTTCACATTTGATTCAATGCATGTCTAGACAAAATACCATTTAAATGTACCAACTTTTTTTAATGTCTCCGCTTACATTGTGACACTTTTTGGAGCCTTTTTCGAAAAATGGTGTCCCTCCTTGAATGAAAATGCAACATCGAGCTTGATTTGGCTTTCTGTGCTAACAACACGGTGTGGGCTGTTTTCAGAATAGCAACACAGCATGCTGTGTTTGCTTTCTAGCCCTTCCAGCAAGAACCAGCCTGCTCCTTGATCCTGGCTAATCCTCAGTGCTAATCTCCCCCAATCACAAGTGAGACCCAAGGCAGGAATAGTCTGGCTATTACAAGTCCCAATCTCTGTCGCGTACCATTCACAACTTCCAATGGGGTAAGACGTTTTGGTGTTCCAGACCAGCAACAGGCCCCAAGGCCGAAGACACATTTTGGGGTAGAACCATGTGCACAACCATGATGGTCCTGACCACTATTGCTCTCATCCTGCGGCAGAGGTTCTCCAATAAAATCAAACCGTGAGTACCGGTACTATCAACCTTTTAAATAACAATGAATAATGTCATTATATTTAATCCTTGGGGTTACAGTCTCAGCTTTTGATTTTTTTTTTCTTTAAAATTTGACACAAGAAAAGAAGCACTATATAGTTAATAGGACTAATTACATAACATGCTTCCAGCGAGTTCTGAACACACACGTACAAGAAACATACACACCAAAAATGCATACGTGTTTCATGTGTGGGAGAAAGTGTGAAACAGAAAGAAGGGACTTATCTGCATCATTGATTTGAAATAAGTCCTGTAATTATTTAAGGGTTAGCCTTAATCAACAGCGTGTGGATTAAGTGGCTGCCTTCATAACAACCACGTATTCCGGCTTTTCTAATGGGAAGATGAATGGAGGAGAAAATAGCAGAGCTCTCGAGTTCATGGATACTAATTGACTCAAAGTGCAATCGTTCCGTCTCCCCCCAGAGTCTACTTACCCACTCTCCGAGCAATAGCAAACAATGACACGTGGCTATGGCAAACATCTGGCTTTCACAATTAGGAGCTGATAAAAAAGAACCTGGTTTTCAATGAGGCCTTCATCCTGCATCCAGCTACTTTATACAAAAATGAGAGCAACATAAAGCAGTTTTGTTGAACCACTTTAGAGTAAGACAAGGAAAAAAAAACTGAAAAGCTATAGATGTCCCAAACCTTTCCTCACGTTTTGTTTGTGGGTTTTTTGTTTGTTTGTTTGTTTGTTGTTTGTTTGTTTGTTTGTTTGTTTGTTTGTTTGTTTGTTTTTTGTTTGTTTGTTTGTTTTGCTCTGACTACAGATTCTGGGAATTTGTAAGACCTTACATCAGTGAAAAGTAAGAGAAAAAAAGAGATGGATTTTTAAATTTCCATTGTATTTGATTGGAATTTCATTCAAAGGTTTGAACATCTTACCATGCAAAGTTCAACTTATTATTCGAAGATAGAGTATGGCACAATTGCAAACCTACCAAGACATAGCCACCACCTTAACTTACAAGAAAGAGAAAGTAAGCATTAATCAGAGAATCAACCAAAGAAGCTCAAGCTGACTCTTGAAGAGCTGCAAAACCCTACAACTCAGGGGACGGATTTAGTTGTGCTCACCACACATCTGGACTTAATGGCAAAGCAGGCTTTCTTCTTGCCGCTTGGCCCCCACCTCTGACCATGACGCCAGGGGTGGGGGCAAAGGTGGGGCAAAGGTCATCTCAGCCTGAGGTGGGGCAAAGAGGCAAGAAGAAAGCCTGCTTTGTTCTGATAAAGCAGTATGTCATGACAAGCCGCCATGGGGTCACAGCAAAAATGTGGGAGAATCTGCTTCAGTCAGATTAGTCTCAACATGAACAAAAATGCACCACGATGCTGGGTTGCTTTTCTTCAGAAAAGGCAGAGAAGCTGCACAAAGTTGAAGAGTAGTGGACGAAGCCAAATGCAGGACAATCCTGGAAGAGACGACAAAAGAGTAGAAACTGGGACAGAAGTTCCTGAGTCTCCAGATGTGCAAAGAGACATAGATCAAAAAACTTACAGCTCTAAAAACTGGAGAACAGCTCTAAAAATTGTAGATCTAGATGAGCTGAGATGAACCGAACTTTACAATGAGGGTATACTACATTTGAGTGACATCATCTACATGTCTGTTCACAGGCAGAATGACAACGTTGATATGGAAATGCCGTACATGAAGAGCAATGGGACAACGGAAACCCACAATGACAACATTTAAGGGTAAGAACACTAAAGCGAATCAAGGCAATTAGACCGCAACATTTTGCAACAAGACACTTTTCTAGTTTTAGTTGCTTTGCAGTGTTTACTGTCTGAAGCCTTTTTTTTTCACTGGCACTGCTGCTTATTGTTGAGCTTTCTGGAGAAGCACAATCAAGCAAGCCAAAAAAAAAACAACATGGGCAAAAAATAGATGTTGATGAAAATACAAAATGTAATGCATTCAAGACACCAGATGAAAACTGAGACTGTCTGAGGGGTGCAAAAGTGGAGCACTGGAGTATGACGCAGAGGCACAGATGCATAAAAAAGCCTAGAAGCCTGCCCCACATTTGGCTTTTAAGTTCTACCAATGCTGAATGATTTAGAGGCCGAACACAATCCGTCGTCTCTTTGCAGGGTTATTATAAATACATCACCTCACTGCCACCACCCTTTTAAACACAGGGCTATCATCTTAAGCAGTAAGCCAAATAATAATTGTAAAACAAATAAAGCACAGTGACAACTTGACGTTTTTTTCTCTTTTATTGTCCCGTAGATGTGTTTTGTTGAGTCGCAGCGATTCATTTTTACTAAATAAATATTTTTGGACAGTCACAACTATTCTTTCAAAAAAATTTTAGCTTTAAAGTAACATTAATCTTAAAAAAAAAGCTTAATGAAGGAGTGAATCTTTTGAAATTTAAATTGGGAAAGGAGGAACACTAAAAAAGCCTAAATGTCAACAATTTTCTTTAAAGCTCTTTTGTCAAATAGGGTACTTTATCACATCTCATTGCACTTTTTTCTCGCTATCAGTTATTTCCTCTGAATATGTGAATTTTTCTTCGCACTCTCGTTGCATATTTCCCCCTGACTGAAATGAGACACATGCTCCGAGGCATGCATCCCATCAGAGAATTATGTAAAATTTATACTTGTTGCTCAACCTGTCTAGATAACTGCGGAATAATTGAATTTACCATGACACAGGAGGGAAGCATCGCCTTCTGAGAAGTCCTCCCCCAGTTTTTTTTAGGAAACTAAATATCCCTGCATTCATGGCGTTCCAGCGCAAATATTTAAAATATAGAAGATGTTTTTGTTTAATGGATGTGATAAATGAGTTGAAAGAAGCCAGAAAAACTTGTTTTGGAAATCTGATAGTAAGGGAGTGGTGATGTCTGCCTCACACTGAGCTTTGGAGTGTTTACTGATGCATTAACACTAAAAGATTTAGAAGGCAAACAACACAATCTCTTCAGAAAATGTTTCAGATATGCATCCCCCCATTCCCTTCTGCCATCCACCTATGTGCTGCTCAATATCAGTACAAATAGAATAGAAGATACTTTTTTGATTGCTTTTTTCTTATTGTTGAAGATACTCTTCTGGAAAATAAAATAAAAATAATCAAAAAATATTTAAAATATTTAAAAAGCAAAATAACAAGAGGAGTAATCGCAATAGGCTGCATGTACATCAGCGCATGTGCACTCTCTATAATAATATAGTTGTGTAAGATAAAGAATTTTTGTTTGTTTGTCTTTTATTTTTCTAGTGGATTCAGATGTTGGTCTACTCGCTACAGATGAAGACTTTGATCAGGAGAACATATGAAGAAACATGGCCGACACAAACAGTGAGAGCTGTTCTGATGTGGCCTTGCCCTCGATGTTCAGCAGGGTTTTCATTCCTGAAGCAGGAAGTGTCAGCAGAGGTTCAAATTCCACTGGAAGAGGGATGATACCTTACAAATGCTGAATTTGAGCCATTAGACGTTATTCACGACCTTCAGGCTTGTGTTTTTCTTGTTTGAGGGGAGTATGTTTCTGATTCATGCATCAAAAAGGTCAGGAACTACAAAGTGCACTTTAAGAAAAATATTCTCTACAATTAAATTTTTTTTTAAAGTCCAGGGTTTTATTTTGCCAGTAAAGGTAAAAAAATAAAAATAAACTTTATGTTTTCATCTTCTACGGTGAAGTTAACAGAAATGAGGAGTTTGACTTGCTGGACTCAAGTCAAACTGAGATCAAAAGTTTAATCATTTTAAGCTCAACAATGAAATCACAAAAGACTTGACGCTCAAATTAGCGCTCAAATTGGCTCCATTGAATCATAAATTCTTCCAGACTTAAACCTTTTGAATATTTGATTTCTTCCACCAAATGTAAATGTGTCTCTTATGCATTCCTTCAGTCGACTACGGTTAATTTTAATGATTGTCAGTCATTTTACACTAACTGTCCAGAGCTCCTAGATTTGACACATCAGTGAAGTTACAGATAAAAAACATGAAGAAATACAGTGATGTTACCCAGTACCATATGGACAAAATTGGCACCTTCACACGTCCTCAAAATATAAACCTTGACATTAATTTTTTTTTTATTTTTTAACTTGCTGAAATGTAAATAAATCAAAGCCTTAACAATAAAAGGTTATTAAACTAACTTTTCCTTAATGTAGTTTCCAGGTAATTTTCTGCAATCTAACAAAACACCTTTTGGAATAAACATTGTTGAACTAACAAAGCTATCTTGTGTTATGTTCCTACATAAAGTCCAGTCACTGAAAAAACACATGACCTTTATCAGCCTAAACCTTTCATTGTTTTTTGAATCAATTAGAACTACCATTTTTGTTCATTTCCAAATATCAGAAAGAAGCAAAAGAAATAATATTTAAACTGGGTCAAAGGTTGCATGAATTCTTTGCTGGCATTTTGGACATTCCTCAGAGCTAACATAAGTGAATCAGATTCTACATGTCTAAAAAAAAAACTAAAAATCTTCTCTCTTTTTAGAACTTGGGCTTTTGTTACATTTGTGGCTCATTCCACTATATAAACAACAAATCGGATCAGCATTAACAGTTTTTGGAAACTGTAATTGATCATATATTTGGTCAATTATTTGTTTCAGACTATAAATTAGATGGACTAATGCCTTGAATGGGGACTTAAGTGAAAATACATCATTGTTACAAGAGATTTGTAGGATAGAATACTATCTTAGTCCCGCCCTCTGAACAGATTACTATTGTTTTCAAACTCCACTTTGACCTGCTCTGCACTTTAAAGGAAAGGTCAGGGTGGTAATCAGAGATATTTGAAAAACAACTGCAGAAAATGTCAGTCAAATAAAAGAAAATACTATTAATATTTATGTAATCTAGAGCAAATAAATAGGATTTATTTCTGCACACCAAGAATGAAGGTGTCAAATCTGACTTTATGTCAAAGACATTAAACTTAATAAAAGAACTGTTTTTCTATCAGTGACATCTAGACATATTTATATTTTTACTTAAAGTGTTTTGGATAGAGTCTGCTTAGACCTCTTAGTAGCATGGGGACAAAATGTTTTCATTTATTCAGCTTCTTTAAATGTATCTTCCTACCTCCCACAAAAATAACTAAGAGAAATACTGTAAATACATGCTAGATAAATTTTAAAAAATGTGCCTCAACCACCACAATAAGTCCTTTGACTGTGACCATTTCAGCACATTAAATGCGGATGTGGGGAAACCACGTTTATCTTAGAAAATCTTAGCTTTCCTGATTTCAAATGGCTGAGACTGTGTACTTTGCTGAGTCATCCTGTGAACCTTATAGCTTTATGTTGTTGTCACACTGTACTCCACATGACTAAATAAAGCATTGAAATGCCTCTTTGTTGTGTTTTGTGTGTCCTGCTGGAACTCAGTGAAGCACAGAGACGGGCTTTGCTGTCGTCTTTTAAAGAGCTTATTATGATGAATACTTCTCTGGTCGTTTTGAAGGTCTCTCCAAGTTTTTCTTGGACGCTGGAAAAAGCAATAAAAGTCCAAAGGGAAGATTTAGAAAGTCTGAGGAAACAGGACTACTGGGGAGCACAGAGAATGACTTGAATAAATGAAAGAAAACTCATATTTATCATGCGAAATGTAATCTCTTCGTTACCTGAGTAAATTATAAAATTATCCAAGCTTGTAAATTTTCAACCAAACAGCGGCTGGATAATCCATTTGAAATACTGTATGGTTGCAAACTATATTCTACATGTCTGAAATGATTCATGCACATTATGTATACATTTCCAAAGAGAAATATTACTAGATTATGTCCGCCAGGCATACTGGATTTTTTTTGTGCCATTTAAGTGACTGCACTACAAACAATGCTTTCCTTAAATGGAGAATGGAGATCCTATAGCTACAGTTGAATGGTTAAAATCAAGGGTGACCAAGTCCGGTCCTCAAGACCTGTCTTGTTGAGTCAGTCAAAGCATATTCATGTATATGTAGAATGACTCAATCAAAGTCCATGCCTACATCTAACAGAGAATATGTGGTAATACTTGAACATTGATGTTCAGGGGTGCTCTCCATCCAGTCTGACTGAGACTGAGGTAGGAAAGGTCATTCTAAAAGCGTGGTTGCTTGTCCTACTTGGTCTGTCTCATAAAGTCCATTAATGTAGTTGTGACATGACACATCTTGGAAAACACTGCATCAGACAGATGGCTTACAAATTTTATTTGACCTATATTACTGAATACACTTTACGGGTAAAAACAAATGTTTTGTGTATTTCATCTCTGGCTTAAAAGGAGACAAATGATTAGGCTCACTCCCAATGACTTGATGACACATCAAGCTTTGACTTCACCCAAATGAAATAGTCTAATGAGGATATTTATCTGCTTTATCTCCCATCAACTGGTTTCACCATTACAAACTTCTGACGCCATCTAGTGGCGAACTTCCTCTCACCAATGTTTTTTTTTTCTCTCTCTCTCAGATGAAAATGTCAACTGTTATGTGTAAGAAATGTGTTTCTCGAATATATTCCAAGTTACATGGTGTAAATTCAACGTCTTACCACAAAATCTCTAATAAAACTACATTACCCAGATTGCAGCTGGATCAGTAAACAGGAAGCTCATGCTTTACCGGTTCAACCGTGTGTGACAGTCTGTATGAAAACTATTCAGGCGTATTAAACACTGTTTTGTACTCATTATTACTAATGTGTGTATACTGCTAACCATTAGGTTTGTGCTTTATTAGCTAAAGGGCTTTACACACTGTGTTTCTGACGGTGGGATATAGCACCGTGAGGTCGGCTCATTTAAGAACTGGGTAAATAAACGCTAAATACAGTCTCTTGTATGAAAAGCGTGTGTATCTCTATCTGCTGCAATGAAACCCGCTGTTTACAGTTCTCTCTGCCGCTGATATAGAAGAAGACTTGCGGCGTGGAGCGACGGAGTGGTTACCAATGGAGACAGGAGACGCCTAAACAGATTTAGCTAGCTTTAGCTCGTTAGCTCCCTTCAAATCTGTCCGCGACCAGCCAGGATTCATTATGGTGAGTTCACCTGTCCTTTTTCTGGGGTCAAAGGCTGTCCTGGAGCTGTTGCGCAATGTTTGTTTGAATACTTTCCCATTCTTTAGGAATTGCGTGAAATAATAACATCCATGTTAGTGTAAATAAAATGATACACTTTCGTTATTTTTGTTGGCAGCCCACAAAGCCGAAGAGTAAAGCCTCCCAAAGTAAGTTCATGTTTGAAAGCCTTTTAATAGTCTATAGATACATGTCTAACATTGGAATATTACATCAAACCATTCAAAAAATTATTCTTAAAAACAGATATGGGAAGGATGTCCTCAAGTGTGCCTGCTGACAGGTTGTTATTTTCAAAAAGTTATTTTAATCTGACAAACTATTTGGGGATATTTGCAATTGTGATTTATTGATTGTATACAGCGTGCAATGAAATTTTGACCTTGACAGCACCCTCAAAAATAATAAAAATGATTGCGAATTAAGATTTTTGTTGAAATCTTTAAATCCCACACATCTAGGCTTCTCTCTACCAATTCCTATACAAGGTATTTTTCAGCAGGAGATTTTTAGTTCCAGTCTTGTAGCACAGCTTTATCGGAAGTGTGCATAAATGTATCAAAATCCAACTAACTGTACATTCGCTGTGTTTTCCTGAAGACCTTTTTGAAGATGAAGACATTCTTGACAGCTTATTCGATGCCGATTCAAGTAGGTGACGTTGACGAGCAGTAACTCATAGAGAAAATATTGAAGTTTATCACACTAATTTATTTGATCATATTACCCCTTAGAGCAACCAGGGCGATCAAAGGGGACTCGTGGTGGACGGCCAAAAGTGTAAGCTGAAGGAATCCAGGAAGTCTCCACTTAACTGTGTTAAATGAGTACTCCTTATGGGCTTCCCTTTCTTACTTTCCCAGCTCGTCTCCCACTAATAACATGTTCAGTAGGATGGCGGAGGAAGTCAAGAGGGACGACTTGGAGGTAAAAGAGAAAATATGTTAAAACAGAGGACTAATATTTGCCTATTTGTATGTCATAAATAATTGTTACCTTTGCTTAAGGCCTCTGATGTCTCTGAGGCTGATCCCAGCGATGTGCTGAAGGACCTGAAGGTAGATTCATATCAAATGAACAAAAGCAGAGACTAAATTCGCCTCTTGTATGGTTTGAGGCTTGAATAAAGTTTACTCTCTTTCCTCAGGGCACGGATGATTTAGAGGCTGACCTGTTTCCATCAAAGAAAAAGCTTCCCCTACAAACAAAGTCAGTCGGTAATGAAGACCCAGTGAAAGACTCCTCTGTGTTACAAAGTAATGCAAATCTTGAGGGAGCAGGTAATTCAAAGCAGCATGTTCTTGCATAAAACATTGTTGTCATTATTATGTTTCCCTCACTACAGGTTTTAAAAGTTGTCGGAGAAATCTAAAAAGGGTTTGTCTTCCTATTTTCTTTCAGATGAGGCCACAGGAGGAGGGAAGAAGCCAAACTCTGCTCCTCCATCCTCAGCACATAAGTACAATGACTTTTTTGGTGAGTGAATGTCAGATTAAGATTGTGCTTCAAATAACTTGGGTATTGTTGGGCGTCAGCTTTACTTTCCTTGCCTTTAATCATTGCCTTTGATCAGCAATGGAGGTAATGATGAACGTCTGATCCAAGTTTTACGTACATTGACTTTAATCTATTTAAATTAAGCCTTCATTGGTTTCAGATTTGTACATAAATTGGCAACCAACAAATTCAACTTTCTCCAACTAAGTACTGTATTTCACTCAGTTCTTCACCCCCAAAAAAGATCATTTGAATAATTTGTACAGCCAGATTGGGTCATATTTTTGTATCAATTTCAACCTAGAGGATGATAAGTTACATTTTAAATGTGAAACTAGTGGAATGTATTTGCATTACTTAGACAGAAAATGGGCAGAGAGAAAGACATATTTACTTCCATAGACGACCGCTGTGTCAAAGAACCAACATATTTTGAAATATGATATTGAACACCAATATTGAATTCTGGATTAGCTTTTAGGTGGCCTAACACTTATTAACAGTGGACAGTGGACATTCTGTCTACTGACAGAATGTCTCAAAGGAACCGAAAGTGTTAGAAGTGGAAAAAAATGTCCTACGGCTCAATTCAATTTAAAGATTAACTTTAAACACATCAATAGATTTTAAAATGTCTTGGCAAAATCAACAAACAAGAAGACTTGTGTGTACTCCAACAAAAAAAAATCTCCATTGTTCTACTTCTCAAGCTTTTCTCCAAATATTTACAGAATTATATAGTGTGCAGTTTAAACTCCTTGGTTGATTCAGATAAATCAGTATAAACCAAAGAGAATCAATTTGTGCCTCTCGAAGCAGCGTGAATTATGCAATTTGTTCAACAATATTACATTTTTAAAGAATTGAACACATTTTAATCTTTTTATTTCAGAGTTGATGTTAATCCCTGCAATTTTCTTACTTTTAGTTAAATCTTTTCAAATCCATTTTGGAAAAATGGCATTAATGATAGTATTCCTTCAACACATTCTCTCCTAGTGATTTACAAGACGCCTGAGTTCAGAATAAGAATACAGAGGTTGTAGGCTTCTTTGTCTCGTTGACCGCTTTTCACTGTGATCTGTGATGTAAACGAGCATCATTAATTATTAAAGAGTCTTCTTACATCTGCAGATCTAGACGACCCCCTGGCTGATTCGCTTGATGACCTGCTTCCGGATGAAACCAGGCCTGAACCTAAACCCCGGCAGAGCCAGGCTGGCAAATCTGTGCCTCCTGCATCAGCATCTCCCATCCTGAGGAGCCACATGAGTGAGCTGCATGCTTGTAGAGGATTTTGCTTCTCCGGCATCTAACATACACTTTGTGAAGACGGGGATGTTTCTCCCTTTTTATCAGCAAAGACGTCGAAAAAAGAAGACAAGGATGATCTCCTTGACGCCCTGGGGTTTGAGAGACACAAAGACGATCCAAGGAAGAAAGAGTCTCCACTTTGGTCTTCCAAGGAGAAGTAAGGGCTCAATTATCATTTTGCCTTTCTCGCTCCTTTTGTGCTTCTTTTTTTATAGTGCTCAGTTGATAAATAATTACCATGAGCCTTAGGCTTTAGTGTGCAGCTCAAAACTAAGACAATGTTTTCCCAACACATATACAGTACAGTCTATTTCTATTATGTTTTAATTGGCTGACTGCATATGATTCCCAAGAATATTTCCCATGTCGTGTTTCTTCTTATTTCCAGGAGCGAAGCCCCTCAGAGACCTCGTACCAGAATTCAAGATATTCTGGATGCCTCCACCTCAGCCCGACCGCCCACAGGGG